ATTATCTTAGTTCATGGTTCACCCGACACAATTATTACTGATCAAGGAACACATTTCAAGAACGAACTCTTACAAGCTATTTCACATTTAGTTGGTTGTAAACAGATTTTTTCGACACCATATCATCCACAAACAAATGGACAAACGGAACGATGGAACTCGACATTCGTAACACAAATCGCCAAATATTGTAATACTGATCTAAACAATTGGGACACATTTTTACCATCTATCGTTTATGCTTACAATAATGGTATACATAGCTCAACTGGACTTAGTCCATATCAACTAGCATTCGGACGACGACCACGTCATCCATTTAATCCTCATGCAACTACCTTCGTTTTCAACAAACCACATGATTATTGGACGCAAGTGATGCAATACAGAAATACAGCTTTAAAACAAGCAAAACAACATATAATACATCAACAAGAACTATCAAAAACTCGTTTTGATAAAAATCGATCGCATCCGAATTTCGTTCTAGGTGACCTTGTGTGAATGAAAGTTTTTGTTGAACGACACAAACTTAAAGCTCGATACATTGGTCCGGTTCGAATTCTCTCACCCCTATCATTCATAGTTGAAGATGAACATTTACAACAATTTCAAGTGGATTCAAACAATATCAGACGTGTATATTCTCGTGAATCATTCCAGACGTGATACAATTTTTCAAACGAAATTCATCTACTGACATCAAATACTCACACGATTTATTTAGTATTAATATCTTTTTATCTTGTTTATTTCAACTTTTCTTAACTTTCATCTCAACAACGCCTCAGCTATCTTCTTCTTCTTGAAAATTTTGTTTCTCAAATACTTCTCTTACAGCTCGCTGTTACATTACATCTACCACTCACTCCGATCGTATCATGAACATTTTTACTCCTAATTAGTACCTAACATTTATTTTCTCCCCTTGTATTTCACTTCCTTTCTCATCAGCTTTTATATTTGTCCTCTTCTCGCACACTGTTTCGCGTTCAACATATGAATTATCTAATTTTTTTGGTTTTATTTTTGCTATATTCATTTCGGATTTTTTCTTTTCATGGTGTTCGAATTGTTTCAATATCGTTTCTTATCTTTTACTTTGTAGATTTTTGGAGGGGGAAAGTGTTATCTCAGTAGAGACATCTCCTGACATAAGACGGCCATCTTTATTCCTCTATCATAGTTAGGAGATTGTCAGGATCGCCATCTATGATAGATGGACGATCCTTAACCTTTGTTCTTCTTTCCTCCACATATATATATATAGATATATGTTTTTGTTTACTTGTAAGAGGGAGAGAGAGGGTGATATTGTAAAAAAGGGTGATAAGTGTAAAAACAGACTTAGGTACTTGTTCTTCTTTGCTATACATTAAATAAAAGTACAAGAAACCTAACAGAGATGGAAACAACCGGTGGAAGAGGAGAGAAAGAGAGAAAGAACATTCTTTGCTGC